GGCAGGAGCAATCCTCCCCCCCGCCCCCCAATACGAGCCACAATTCTGTCCCACATCCTACCCCAGCTGTGCAGCGCCTGCCCCAGCCCCATTCCCTTGCTCACCACGGGAGCATCGATCTGTACAACAAACTTACCAGCCAGAGGTTGCTCTCCATGCTGCTGGGCCACATATCGGCAATTAGATCAGTATCGGCCGATATGGCTTGTTAAAAGTCGACTATCAGTATGCACCCAAAAAATCTCTATTGGTGCACCCCTACCAGATTTCAACCCTCACTTGTCCCAGCAAAGACCATGGAGGAACAGGTCACATGCATGTGCCAGCTGTTCCCACCTCTCCTTCAATGAAGCCATCACGAACTGGTTTTTTTTTTTTTGTTTGCTTTTAACAGGCTTGCCAGGAAAAGCGGGTCCTGAAGAGATCCAAAAGGGATGAGAAGGCCAGCCTCTCACAGATCGGTTTGAGCAGCTCCTCCTTCGTACAGTGACCTCGGATGCTGCAGCTATGAACTCGCCTGAACCACGCGCACCTTTTTGACAGATAACAGACAAGTTTCCTGCCCAGTCTGCAGCAAGCAGCAGGCCAGTCTCTGACTACGGGATCTTAAGTCTCCCAATTCTGAGCTCATAACACACTGCTTGCAATCCTGTTGCTACCCAAGAGGCTCCCTGTAAGGCGTCTGGCAGAACCACGCAGCTGCAGGCACTGCAGAAATCGTCAGTGCTGGCTCCAGGAACCCTACCGTGCTGATCCCAGCTCCTGTGTAGACAACCATGTGCCTGGCTCTTCGCACAGCTGCAGCCAACTCGCTGACTTTCCTCTTTAACTCCTGGGGCTCATCACAGACCTAGAGAAAATAGGTGAAGAAAGCAGCATTGTTGCTCTGAGCTGTGGCGAGCCACTGCCTACACGCCGCTGGTTGACACCACTTCTGCTCGGCCTCCCCCAAGGCAGGGGCAGGGCCCAGTTCAAGGAGGAGGCTACTGGACCAGACCAAGCCGGGACTCAAACACTCAGGGAGGACGAGGAGCCCCAATAGCGATGCCCCTCGGCGAGGGCCATCGCACGGCTGCTGCTCTCCTACTGGGCACACCCTGAAGCACCACCGCTAGAGATGCGGAGCCCGGGGCTGTGAAGGGCCCAGCCCGGTCACTGCACAGGGCTGCGGCCATGCCCCTCAGGCCCCAGCCCCTTGAGTAGGGTTGCCATACATCTGGTTTTTCTAGACACGCCCTCTTTTTGAGTCCTCCGATCTCTGTCCTGGCAGGTTTTTCAAATCTTACCAAATGTCTGTGTTTTTGCTGTCCTTTGCCAGCAGGAGCAGGGAGAGGGGCAAGTCTATGCAGTGAGCAGCACCATGCGCAGGGAGCTGCAGGCAGCTAAGTCTGGGTTGCGGGGCTGCAGCAGGACTGGGGGGTGAGGGGGCTGTCTGCCCCTGCAGAGGCGGTGGGGGGTGGGGGCACCTTTTGGGGCCAGCTGGGAACCCCGGGGCCAGTGCCCGTGCTTGCAGGGCGGAGCGGTCAGGAGACGCTGCGGAGGGGCGAGGGGGAAAGGGTCAGGAGCCATGGCCTGGGGGGAGAGGGCACGTGCCTCCCGTCCTTCCCTCCCATCCAGCCTGCGCTGGAGCCGCCGTGCTCTGGCAGGGCCAGGACCTGGACCCGGGCAGCTGCAGCTCGGGAGCGAGGGCACC